GCCCTTATGGGTGCATTGGTTCTGTTTATGTCCTGCTTGTCAAAGCCTTTAACATGGAGAAACTAAATACTTTGCAAACACAACAAAGTCAGAAATGTTACCATTACTCATGTATTTCTACAAACCTTTTTAGATCAGTAAATTGAAATATAAACATATATTAGGTTTTAAAGCCCGTGCTCATTGTTCTTGACAAATGAAGGCCTGTTGATAAACTCTGATTTCTTTTTGGCCTCTCTGCCTCGAAGGCCCAAAGTGTGTTAGGCCTTATTAGTCCTATTAGGCTTAAAGTGCATGAGAGTTTCTTGTGCTTATGCGTGCTTGGACCCGCTCATTGCCGCTTGCGGCTATATTTCTTCTTTTTATTATTCTTTTTCTCCGATAAAATGAATCGCCCAGACCAAACCGTAAGTCCTAGAGACATGAAACTTGGTCAATAGGTAGTAGTCCCTCCCGCTACTCAGGTTCGCGAAATGAGCCCAATCGGCCTAAAGATGGCGCTATTGCGCAACACGACGCGTTTGGCTCCATAATTCCTTCCCCAGATTTTTGCCAGACCTGACATATTTTTTTCCTGATTCCTTGGGTCCAAGAAAACAACTTTGTAATTTGGACCATTAAGCTCCGCCCACTTAGATTTTGAGCTAATTTGCATAATATGCGAACCCTACTTTTGCGAACTAGTCCTACAGTTTTCATCCAATCCTCATGTTTTTGGTGTCAAAAAATTCAGAAGAGCCTGAACCTCAATAATTATCCAGCACATTTTTAATTCTTTACTCAAAATGGCTGCCATATGCAAATTAATCCTTCTGGAAAAATCAAAGTAATTCTTATTTAATTGAAAAATCTGTAACTCGAGAATCCTTCACCCAAAAAATTTGAAACTTGACAGGCTTATTCCTAAAGAGACTCTGAGGACACCTATCAATTTTTGTGTGCATAAGTCATTAGGGGGCGCTGTAAATGCTATGTAGCTGTTTCTCAGCATCCGTACATCCGATCAAGTTGAAACTTAGCAAGTACCATCTATTCCAAAGACTATAAGTGAATCTTTCAGGACACTTTGAAATATTTAAATTTGTGGCCGCCATCGGCCAATAAGCTTTCAGCAGCCATTTGACAGGCTTAGCATTGGCCAATCCTTATGATGCTTGATATCTATCTATCTCTGTCTCACCACCTTCTAACAACCTGTGAAGTTTCAAAATATTTGGCCACTGGGGGGGCGCTATTACAGAAAATCAAGTATATCTTGTACAGATTGTTATTTTTGGTCAAGTAACTTAGATGCCCTCATGCAGTGCAGTGTTCCAAACCATTTTGTCATTTGAAGTCTATTAAAAAAGTGCTTAGTTTTTTTTCAATCGTCAAATGTTTGAAATTAGCACTTTTCGAACTACTCCGTGGAATTTGAAGCTACCTTCTCAAACCTAGTCTAGAAATACTCTGTAGCCTCTCTAGGTAAATAATTATCCAGCACATTTTCCATTTTTTGCTCATTGTGGTCTCCCTCCTTCACTAAATCATTGCGGCCATAGCATTGCTAGCTTAAATTGCTATAACTCATCAGTCCTTGGTCCGAACATCTCAAAACTTTAAGTTTGTTTATACATTGAGACTCTGATGTGGCTTGCAAAATTTGTTCCTAATTGGCCGATAGGGGGCGCTTTAGCACTCAAAAACACCTAAAATCTTTAAAAATGTTGTTACAACAATACTACAAAGTCTACAGATAAATAAGGTGTCATTTGATTCAGTTCACTGATCTGAATGACTTTGTAATTACATGTTATATCATAAATTGTGCTCCTTTTCTGGTATTTTGAATTATTCATTTAAAGACTACAGCTTGTAATACCAAGGTCAAAAGGTCAATCTGAACAAAACTCAATGAAAATCTTTGACAAAGGTCCCTGATCAATATTCATAACATTTGAAGACCTTTGAACCAATTTTGACCCACTTTCACTGAGGTCCTTTATGCTTAAAAGGCCCTTATGGGTGCATTGGTTCTGTTTATGTCCTGCTTGTCAAAGCCTTTAACATGGAGAAACTAAATACTTTGCAAACACAACAAAGTCAGAAATGTAACCATTACTCATGTATTTCTACAAACCTTTTTAGATCAGTAAATTGAAATATAAACATATATTAGGTTTTAAAGCCCGTGCTCATTGTTCTTGACAAATGAAGGCCTGTTGATAAACTCTGATTTCTTTTTGGCCTCTCTGCCTCGAAGGCCCAAAGTGTGTTAGGCCTTATTAGTCCTATTAGGCTTAAAGTGCATGAGAGTTTCTTGTGCTTATGCGTGCTTGGACCCGCTCATTGCCGCTTACGGCTATATTCATTATTCTTTTTCTCCTAAAAAACGTGTTGTGGAGAACAGACCGTAAGGCCTAGAGACACCAAACTTGGTGGGTAGATGTAGTTTGTGTGCATCTTGCCAGGCAACAAAAATGACCCCGATTGGCCAAAGGGGGGCGCTATAAAGCATCAAAACACGTTTTGCTTCATAACTTCTACACCATGATGTGTAGAGACAAAATTCTTTTTTTGGCTGATTCCTTGGGTCAAGCCAAACAACTTTGCCTCTTGGACCATTTAGCTCCGCCCACTTTGATTTTTTGCTAATTTGCATAATATGCAAAACCTACTTTTGCAAACTAGTTCTAGGGTTTTCACTCAATCCTCATGTTTCTGGTATCAAAAATTCAAAAGAGTGTGAATCTCAATAATTATCAAAAAAATGTTGACTTTTGTAAACAATATGGCTGCCATATGCTAATGAACCCTTCTGAAATAGCTTATAATTCATTTAAAACTCTATAAGTGGAGAATGCTTCTGCCTTAAATATTGAAACTTGACCTGCACATTTATTACAAGATTCTGTGGTAGCCTATGAATTTTGGTGGGCATATGTCATTAGTGGGTGGGGCAATTGCCAATTAACTGTTTCTCAGCATCCGTGCATCCGATTGAGCTGAAACTTGGCAGGTAGCATCTACTAGACAGACTATAAGTGAATTTTGAAGTACAATTTGATTCATTGAAATTTATGGCCGCCATCAGCCAATCAGCATTCAGTAGGCTTTTGACAGGCTTAACATTGATCAATCATGACCAAACTTGAATGATGTCTATAGCTAGCCACTTTCTAACAACCAGTCGAGTTTCAAAAGATTTGACCACTGGGGGCGCTATTTCAAAAATTTACATATTATTACATGTTATTACAATATTATTATAATTTTCGCCTAGAGCCTATTGTATTACAGTGGGACAAACAATTTTGCCTATACATGTTTATTAAAAATCTGTATAGTTTTTTTGTAATAGATAAATGTTTGAAAACCCTACTTTTCGAACTAGTCTCTGGATTTTGATCCAATTTTTCAACAATTGCACTGCTTGTCTTTTAATTTGGCTTATTCATTCAAAGATTTCACTACACAAAGACTCACTATACAAAGGCTTGAGGCCTGTTTAGGCCTAATATAATAGAAGGCTTGAGGCCTTTTTAGGCCTAATGGGCGAAACAAAAAGCTTGAGGCCTTTTTAGGCCTAATGGCCTAAACCAGAAGCTTGAGGCCTTTTTAGGCCTAATGGGCTAAACCTGCAGAAGGGCCCATACTGCTGTTGCGTGCTTGAACCCGCTCATTGCCGCTTGCGGCTATATTTATTATTATTATTGAAAGATTTCTGCTTGTCCTCATCCCTCTACACCTCTATCCTTGGAAACCTATATGGAGCATTGTTTCAAGCTGTTCATGTTTTGGCTGCTTTGAAGCTATTACCAAACTTGATGTGCCGGTTATGAGTGTGAATGCGATGTGCTTGTCTGTTTTTCACCTTCATGCCATCCTTTACACAGTTATTTTCATTTCTTACATTTCATCCTATTGACTACTTTTGATATTGCAATGCCCTCATGTTCATATAACTAACAAGTTAGAACCTCCACATTTAGTAGTCACATTAAGGCTGTGCTGACTCACATATACACCACTTTGTTTTCTTCAGGCATTATCCCATAGAAATCCTTTTATTTTCACCTTCACTTGAATTTTCAAGGTAGCCATAAAACCTGATAGAAAGATTGAGCTATTGATTGAAAGAACATGGTCATCCTCTAAATATGATTTTCTTTCTTTATTCTTCCCCATTGTCTCATAGTAACTCATTACTTTAATTATGCATTTTTAAGCTAATACCAAAAAATCTGATAGAAAGATTCAGCTGCTTAAACAAAAGAACATTAATGTATTTCATGCTGAAAATACTCATTTGTGTAACCTGCTTTCCTGTCTTTTATGTCTTTTGTCCTCCCTTTGAAAAACCCGTTCATTTTATTTTTTAAGGTAGGCTGCTGATGCAAAGCATAAAACTGGAACACTTAATCATGACTTTTGAAATGCTATTTTGTGAGATATACAAACCAAACCTTATAAAGAGTTTTAGCTGTTCACTCAAAGCTTATTTTATTTCAGCATTTCATACTGATTGTACATGTCTGTTTAAACTCGTATCCATTTTTTCATCCCTCAGTCCTTTTATAAAACCCATTCATTTTCATGCTTCTTCAGTATTTGATTACCCTTACCCTGATTTTTTTTATCCCTCCATCATTGCATAGTCCACCATACTATTGATATCACACATCTATGCATTGCGCTGTCCTTTCTTTCCTTTCATTCCTCCTATAGAATCTCAGTAATATTCATATGTAATTTTCCATAAATCTGTAAAAATCTATTTGTTACATCTGTTAACTAAAAAAGAATAAATAAAAACCCACGTTCTTCAAAAAAGAAAGAAAAAAGTATGAAAAGTGATTATATCATTATTATTATTAAATTATTGAAGTATCTTGGTGTGTCAACATTTTATGTTTTTAGGTTATTTTTCTTTTTTTGACTTTTAAGATTAGCTACTGTAGTGGCAGTTAGATCTTTGTCTCTCCCACCCTCTCTCTCAATTGTTCTCTTTGTTTCCTTAGGATATCAATGAAATGGTCCATACCGAAAGACCAGACTGGCAATGTGTAATGACGTATGTCACTGCTATATACAAGTACTTTGAGACCTGAGAACATCGCTTTATCTGACCAAGCCACTCTGGTCACTGTCTCTGACCAAGGTTTTCCAACCAAAACCACCCCTCACACTTGTAACTTCAAAAATAAGGAACTGAGTTGATCAAAAAACTACATACTGTCCTGTTTTATTAGTTTGCCATTTCTTCATTGGTCCTGTGTAGGTTCCTCAGTTTGGGTGACATGAGATGGATTCAAACTACAGAGACTGTGAGGAACCTGAGTAGCCTTTGTGCCTTCTCCTTTTTTCCTTCTTAGCTTTAGACACAGTCAAATGCAGTGTGGAAATTAGCAAGTCAAACCTTAAAGTGCTTCGAGCTTAATAAGGGCTTAGGACGAAAGACCAAAATGATCCAGAGCAGAACTGGGATTGTGAACCACTGATCAGCCATAAAAGTATTGGCATTTTTGTTTGCTGTAGGGTGTTTGGTAATCTACATAGACACCAACTGATCTAGTGTTTCTTCTGAAATCAAGCAGCCCACTCGCAACCCTACCCACACCCCTTTTGCTGTAGTAATAGCTTCTACTCTTCAAGAATGGCTTTACACTACATGTAGGAACACTGCTAATTTTTTAATTTTTTAAAAACTTTTTAGATGTTCATATTCAATTTTACATTATAATATAATAATAAAGTACAGTACGACGTTCTTTTATTCATTTTTGGAAACATGAATAGCGCTTATAACCCAGTAGCCAATTATTGTGAAAATTCATAGGTTAGTAGACAGTCCCTAGCTTTACGTACTATTCAAGTAATGTGATGATTGGCCAGGGCTAAACCTGTAAAATTCCTGGTGATATGTGATTGGCCAATAGTGGCAGTGTTTTTCCAATTATTGAGCCATCATTTGAAACCCTATTATAACCTAGCTTATGAATTGGAGAAGTGGTTGTTCAGAAACAGTAATTTGTGTTTTTGCTACCGCAAATATCAGAAGAAGAATTATAATAAGAAAAATTCTAACAAAAAAGTTAGAGGTCCAGCAACGTGCGCTTGGACTTCTAATGAAGTACACATTTATTTTCTGGCCAAAATAAAACATTGGTGTGTACAGAAAGGCATTAAAAGCACAGTGTGTTGTTTTCCTTTTACCGATTATGAGGTAACAAATAACAGTTCCCTCTGCTGGATGTTTGCAATCAATTTCCTGTAGCATTCTTCAAGCCCTAATAGATGTGTGTCGCTATTTTGTAGTCCCAAAGCCCAAAATAAGAAACTCCAGGTCTAGGCTCATTTTGCCTATGGGAAAAATTAATGGTATTTTTAAAAAAACTGTCTCACCTTGTGATAAACAAAAAAGTTTCAAACTTGATTTGTTTTGCCATATGTATGTTTCACACAAATGTCATTGGGTCCTCTGAATTATGAGGTCGTTAATTTACATGCAAGCTAACACTTGTGCGCTTGAATTGGGATTATAAAGCCCATTGTAGACTATGCAATAACAGTGGTCTTGTATGTATATTGCAGGGCACACTGCACACGATTTTGTAAATTAAATCTTGGCCATATTCTGTGGCAGACTGTACAAAGTCACATGCAGCAAGTCAGATCATAAGATAAAGATTTTGGAAAGAAACTTTTATGCTGAAAAATGAGGTTATCCATAAAAAAATGCCTTTGCATAATAATGACAATGTTTTTCACTAAGGCACTACATTGACCGCTGTGGAGCATATCTCATTAAACATTAAAAGTCCACAGGTTTTAACTTGCAGTTAACATCTTTTTTGATTATAGAGTGTACCAGTGCCTTAAGTATGGAAACAATGTTAAAATACCCAATACAAACCATAAAGCTTTGTCTAGTGTGGTAGTTGGGTGGCTTGGGCAGTAGTAGCCTGCAATTTAAGTAGCTGTTGATTCCTCACCTGCATGATAAAGGTCAGTTCATGCAAATGAGGTTTGCACAGCGTTGTATAGCGAGAAGCTCCATGGTGGTCAAACTGGTCCAGAAGGATCTATCTATCTATCTATCTATCTATCTATGTATCTATCTATCTATCTATCTATCTATCTTATTTTTAACATTTCTGTTGAAATATATACATGTAGTTCTGAATACAGAGCTTGGTGTATTATTATTTCAATACTGTGCATTCTGTGTATTTTCAAAAATAATTTACATTGCACCTAAATCTAATCAAATCTGTGTGAAATTTGCGATTTCATAGTGCATTGAATTGTTTCCTAAAAATAATAATTGAGCCATTGTGATATTTTAGAGGCTTCCATCCCTGATCATTGCATTTTATTACTGCATGGCAAATTCAGTTCTGGCTTAAACACTGATTCCAAACATTTGTGCAGCAGTGTATACATTATAAGGTCACAGTAAAGATATTGTGTAATGTACTATGTATTTGAAAAGCTCATATTGTCCCATAGTGGAATACTGTTCTCTCAACTTGTCTCAATAAATTTGAAATTTTTGAAGCGCTGCATTCATTTCTGACTTTATGAAGCTGATCTTTCTTCATATTCCAGCAGTGAAGTGCACAACAGCTGAAGAAAGCAAAATCTGCACAAGACATTATTTGTGTCTTAGAATTAATCAAAATCATGTACACCGATGAGCCAAAACATTATGACTTGCCTAAGATGCTGTTGGTCCACTGGGTGCCACCAAAACTGCTCTGACCCAGGTTCTACAAGACCTCTGACCCTGTGGTGTCTGACAAGATGTTCAATCAAACTTGTTATTCCAGGACATCCCACAGATGCTTAATCAGACTGAGGTCTGGGAAATTTGGAGGCCAGGGCAACACCTTGACAATCTTCATCATGTTCCTCAAACCATTCCCAAACAACATGTGTAGTGTGGCATGGCGCATTCCCCTACTGAAAGAGGCCGCTGCCATCAGGGCATATCATTGCTATGAAGAGGTGTACCTGGTCTACAACAATGTTTAAGTAGGTGGTATGTATGAAACTGATGTCCACACAAATGCCTGGACCAAGGGTTTCCCAGGAGATCATTGCCCAGAACATTACGCTCCCTTCACTGAGTCTTATCAGACCAGGTGAACTTCATTCATTGCTTCAAAGTCCAGTTCTGACGTATGCATGCCCATGGTAGGCGCTTTCAGGGATGGACATTGGGCAATCCGACCGGTCTGTGGTTACTCAGCCCCTTATGCAGCAAGGTGTGATGTAATTATTCTGTTAATCTATTTCGGAAAAAATTTTAATTAAAAAAAATCTTACTTTTTTTTTTTCCTCCCTCGCCTTCTGCTTCAGTCCACAACTGCTACCACAATCCCCCAAGCAGAGGTCCAGAACCACACGTTTTTTAAACTTGCCACTTGCAAACATGTCCACTACTGGGAGGATTATTAGTTTTATCATTCATTTAAAAGTGCTCAGAGCACACTGAGATTAATAACTGGTTCATCACATTCATTCTTAAGTCTGCTTAGGTTTTAGCAGAGCTCGGTAACATTGAGATAAATAATTAGTTCACATTTATCAGTCTGTTCAAATTTTAGCAGATGCTCATCAGCATCGACGACGCATTGGACGATGGAGAAAGAGAGACAGGCAATAGTTGTGCTGCCGCTGCTGCTGCTGTCGTCGTCGCCCCCTGTAGCACCGAACCTGACGCTGTGAAGAGTTCCGCTGTGCCGACGAAGGGACGCGGAGCTCTGTAGGGCATGCACATGGCTCCGGGCAGGACAGAAACAGTGTTGAGCAGACGTGACGCCACACGGGCCCTAAGGCTGGGGGCTAAGGCAGTCTGTGCCGTGGGGGTGTCCCCCCGTGTACCCTGTGTTTGTTGTTGGAGCTGGGCATTTTTTGCTACCTTTAAAGTGCATGTCTAATAAATAGCAGAGCATTTACCCATACTGAATATGTTTGCCGGGTCTTGTTCAGTGCTGACGCTACAAAATTACTATGGAGGACGACACGTGCTTAATGAATTGATTGATTGATTGATTTAAAAGAATTAAAAATAAATACTTTTGGCACATAAAGCAGAAATAGATAAATGTGGGACGTAGAACCACAAATAAGTCAACTACTCAATAACAGTGCATAAGAAATGGATAAATAAATTAATTTATACACATATGAGCAGAAATACTGAAATAAATGTTATTTATTATTTATTTCTGTTTTTATTTATTTTCCTAACTATCAGTATCCCTGCAGCGTCGACATGCGACTGCCCAGTCGAGCTCTGCTACAGTTCAGAGCCTTGTCTGGACACCCAGTCGATGGTTGATAGCTAATGATAAATAATGATTAAGTGTTTGGGGCAAAGTTTCATAACCACCTCGACGTTGATTCATGTCCTTGGTGAGCAAAGTCTTGAAAAGTATCCAGCACTGGCGCATTCACAACTTTTTTTATTCTGTTATTCCCCTCAATCAGTTATATTCAGCAAGTTAACAGTAACTGTACATTAAAATGTGCAGTGTAGTGTATTCTCTGTCGAGCAGAGGTAGGGAATGGAGTCCAGTACAGTTTGGTGATTTCCCTGCTCTAACATTCCAACTAAATCTGGCAGTTAACTGATGAGTTGGATCAGCTGTGTTGAGCAGAAAAATCTCCAAACTGTGCAGGAATCCGGCCCTCCAGGACTGGAGTTCCCCACTCTTGCTGTAACTTGTAATTTGACCAGGTGCTTAAACTTTTGCATCCGACTGTATATAAATTCAGCAACAGGTTTGCATCCTTCTTTGCGTTTTCTTGTCCGGCCTGAAATTAAACAACCTAAACAGTTTTATTAAACATTATAAAAAACTTAAAAACAACCGAGAACTGTTTTTTTTTTTTCAGTCGATGACATCACGATGACGCTAGCATTAATGCGAGCAACGTCCCTCACTTTTGTCTTCACTGGCCGAGCAGTCTTCAACTTCCATCTGAACTGCCCTGTATACTGAAGTGGAAGCTTTGAGTCAGTTATATAGATTTTCTCCAATGCGTGGCTGCTGAAGAGTTAAAATGCACACGGACGAGTTTTAGAAAAAGAATATGCTTTTTCTCAATTAAATAAAATAACTCTAAAGGATCTTCTTTGGTTTAATTGTCTGCCTCTCGTTTTGTTTCTGGAACGTTGTATAAAGCTTTTCTAAAATGGATTTGACCCAATTGCCATGGTAAGTTTTCATCACACTTCTTGAAATGTCTTGTTTTGCACCACATTATTACAGACGAACGGTTGTCTACTATGTAATACTGCTGTGTTGATGGAAATGTAATAGTGCTGCTGCTATCATGTCTTGCTTTCTGAGTTTTTGTGGTCTATTTATGGTTATTTTAGTCCAGGTGCTAAGCAAATGAAACTAGGGTCAGGTATAAGGGCAATTAAGGGCCATTAACAAGGCAGCAGCGTGAGGGATAAGCTACATGTGAGGTAGTTTTTGGGTGGTGATGTCTCTGTATTGGAGGTGTTGATGTGGGATGGGGTAACATCCTACTTCTTGTGATGTCATTTGAAGAAATGGTTCAAAATTTTGTTTTGAGTTACTCCTTGATAAGCCAGTATTCTGGCTATGCTGGCTTCAGTTGGGTTATTGTACCATTGTGGTGGCAAATGATGTCCCACAAATTTAAATCCATGAGCTCAAATTAAGAATAAACCATAGAAAATTGTGACTGGGTATTTGTTGTTCTATTCCCAAATTAACCAACAAAAAAACTGATAATTACAAATATTGCAAATATATATTTTTATTTCAGTGATTTTTAATCATGTAATGCTGAAAAACAGCACGTCAGCAGTGACTTCAAAGATGTTGAAGTACAAACCTGTTTCCAAAAAAGATAGGATGGTGTTCAAAATGTCAATAAAAACAGAATGCAATGTTGTGCAAATCGTTGAAACCCTTGACATTTCACTTGAAATTGTATAACATTTCCGATAATGAAATAGAGAATTTTTATAGTTTTTTGAAAAATATATGCCCATTTTGAATTTGCTGCCAGCAACACATTTCAAAAAAAGTTGGGACAGGGCCATGTTTACCACAGCGTTGCTACACCTTTTTTTTAACAACACTCTAAGTGTTTGGGAACTAAGAAGACCAATTGCTGTAGTTTTAAGATAAAATGTTTCCCATTCTTGCATGATATACGATTTCAATTGCTCAACAGTTTGGGTTCTGCTTTGTCATATTTTTTGTTTCATAATGTATTCAATAAATGTTTTCAATGGGTGACAGGTCTAGACTGCAGGCGGGCCAGTTAAGCATCCAGACTTTTTTCTACGGAACCGTGCTGTCAATGAGTGTAGTTATAGGATTAAAGGAAGAATGACGGCTGAGATGCAGAAAGCGGTAGTTGAACCGGTATACAATATATGGTTTGAAAGCTAAAGTGTGACAGCGATTATTGCATATACAAACAGTCATCACCACACCAGATGAGTGGACATAAAGATATCAAACATTTCAAAAAATCTTAGGCTCACAGACTTCTATCTTTTGCCTATTATTGTTGTTGTTCTTCTTCTTTATGCTCTGCATAAAGAATGTGGTTTGCCATTTTCTTGCTGAAATAAACAAGGCCTTTCATGGAAAAGACGTTGTCTTGATGGCAGTATATGTTGCTCCATAACCTGTATATATCATTCAGCATTAATGATGCTTACACAGATGTGCAAATCACCCATGCAATGTGCGCTAATGCCTCTCCATACCATCACGGATGCTGGCTTTTGAACTGTGTGCTGATAACAAGCTGGATGGTCCCTCTCCTCTTTAGCCCGGAGGACACGGCATTCATTTCCAGAAAGATTTTCAAATTTTGATTTGCAGACAGAAATGTCTCCCTGATTCTATAAATCTTTAAATGATATTATGTACTTTAGATGATGAAATCCCCAAGTTCTTTGCTACTTTACGTTGAGAAATGTTATTCTTGAATTGTTACACTGCTTGGCCATGTCTTTAGCAGAGTGGTGAACCCCTCCCCATCTTTACTTCTGAAAGACTCAACCTCTCTGGGATGCTACCCAGTTATGTTACCGAGCTGTTGCCAGTTAACCTAATTAGTCATGAGATATTCCAACAGGTTTTAAGGATTACACAACATTACCAGTCTTTTGTTGCCCTGTTACACCTGGTTACTGGCATCAAATTCAAAACATGCATATATTTAAAAAAACATTTCCCAGTTTAAACATTTAATATGTTGTCTTTGTACTATTTTCAATTAAATATGGGGTTTAAATGATTTGCACATCATTGCATTCCGTTTTTATCTACATTTTGCACAGCATCTCAACATTTTTAGAAAAGTTGTATTATTTTTATGTCAAAATACAACTTTTACACTTATTTTTCTGTTAAACTGAAACTCCATTAGAATTGTGTTAAATATACAACCCCTATTCCAAAAAAGTTAGGACGCTGTGTAAAATGTAAATAAAAACAGAATGCAATGATTTGCAAATCTCATAGGCTCATATTTTATTCACAGTAGAATGTAAAACACATATCAGATGTTGAAAGTGAGACATTTTACCATTTCATGGAAACTCATTTGGAACTTGATGCAACGCATCTCAAAACATTTGGGACAGGGCCATGTCTACTATTGTGTAGCATCCCCTCTTCTGTTAACAACAGTCTGTAAATGTTTGGTGACCAATTGCAGGAGTTTTGGGAGAGGAATGTTGTCCCATTCTTTTCTGATGTAGGATTATAGCTGCTCAACAGTCCTGGGTCTTCTTTGCCAGATTTTTCTTTTCATGATGCGCCAAATGTTTTCTATTGGTGAAAAGATTGCAGGCAGGCCAGTTTAGCACCTGGACTCTTCTTTTGCAAAGCTATACTGTCGTAATGGATGCAGTATGTAGTTTAGCATTGTTTTACTGAAATATGCAAGGCTTTCCCTGAAAGAGACGTTGTCTGGATGGGAGCATATATTGTTCTAAAACCTCTATATTCTTTCAGCATTGATAGTGCCTTTCCAGATGTGTATGCTGCCCACACCATAGGTACTAGTGCAACCTCATACCATTAAAGATGCAGGCTTTTGAACTGTGTGCTGATAACAAGCTAGATGGTCCCTCTCCTCTTGAGTCTGCAGGACACGGTGTCCATGGTTTTCGAAAAGAATTTAAAATTTTGATTCATCACCTCAGTCCATTTTAAATGAGCTTTGGCCCAGAGAAGATGGTGGTGTTTTCTGAATCGCCTTGACATATGGCTTCTTCTTTGCATGATACGGCTTTAGCTTGCATTTGTGGATTGCACAATGAACTGTATTCACAGACAATGATTTCCGCAAGTGTTCCTGAGCCCATGCAGTGATTTCCAGTACAGAATCATGCTTGTTTTTAATGCAGTGCTGCCAGAGAGCCCGAAGATTACAAGCATCCAATATTGACTGTTGGCCTTGTCCCTTGCGTACAGGGATTTCTCCAGATTCTCAGAATCTTTTGATGATATTATGTTCTGTAGATGGTGGGATATCCAAAGTCTTCGCAATTTTACGTTGAGGAACATTTTTCTGAAATTGTTCGGGAGATTGGTGAACCTCCGCTCATCTTTGCTTCTGAGAGACTCTGCCTCTCTAAAATGCTCTTTTTTACCTAGTCATGTGAGATAGTTACAAATTGCTCCTCCAGCTGTTTTTTATTAGTACCACTTACTTTTCCAGGCTTTTGTTGCCCCTATCCCAACATTTGGGAGCAATGGCAGCAATGGCAGCAACAAGAGATATGTTGCTGCCATTAAGTTCTAAATGAGTCAATGTTTTTCACAAAATGGTAAAATGTCTCACTTTCAACATCTGATATGTGTTCTATGTTCTGTTGTGAATAAAATATGGGTCTATGAGATTTGCAAATCATTGCAATCTGTTTTTATTTACATACATTTATTTATACATTTATTTACATTTAACACAGCATCCCAACTTTTTTGGGATTGGGGTTGTAAAAAAATTCTTGCTCCTTGTAGGTAACATTTCATCTCAGAGAAAGAAAGATCAACTCTGAGTCCACAGTTGAATCCAAATTTCTGAGGAATTTTGCCAAGGTACTGATAAATGAAAAAATGTGCCAGTTCTGTTATTCATGAAACATTGTTATTTTAAAATTTAAATAAAAATCATGAATGCAATAATTGTAATTCATTCAACTGCAAAGACTTTGAAACTAACATGACAGTGGACTATATTTTAGAAAGAAATTTTAGTAATTTTATCAATGATTTTACCACTTTATTAATGTTGAACAATGCAAAATGCTACATTTTTAACTTGAATTACAAGTCAGCATACTAACCATAGTTGTCATCATATGATCCAGTTACCCAAGTATGCCTGAGAGACTGAAGTTAATGTTCTCAGGTGCAGTGGAAAGCCGGGATGTAGACATCACAACAGTCAGACAACCACAGAGCAGCAAAATAGTCTAAGGCAAGTTACATGATTATATACATTCTGTTTTTATCATACCTTACAATGGAAATAATAGCACAGCTAGTGAAAAATATTGCATCACTGAAATATAAGTGTATAAGAGTTCCTAAAAGCTATTTTATTGTCTTGTTTTATGGTCCATGGAGGTAGGTTTTGTGCTTGTGCTTTAAGTATACGTTTTAGAAAAAAAGGGCCTTGTTTCAAAAACTAGGGTGTGTGTGTGTGTGTGTGTGTGTGTGTGCGCACTGTTTCTTTTAATTGCGTACAGATATGCAAAGTTGGGGGTTGCCTGCTAACTTTGCAACCACTGATGCCAGTCTCCTCACTCTTAGGTGACTCTTTTAATGCAGTTTATGTTAGTCTAGTTTAGGATGTTCATTTTCAGCATCAAAAGCTTTCAAGCTTTTAAGTACTAAAACTTTAAAAGCTTGTGGGCAGACCTTAGTCGTTTACTATGTACTTACTAACATTTGATAAAGTGTTCTCAATTGTATCTATTGACACATCTTAACACTGATAAAGATGGTATAAACAGCTGTTTTTGTATCCAGATAAACATTTTATGTGAACAAAATAACACAATCTTACTGAGTCTGCAACTCTGATGATCATTATTATTTCACCTTCCTTTGAATTTGCCAAGTCTATATTTGTGTTTCATGAAACATTGTCACATCGTTATCATTAGATGAGTAAGCCAGTTCCATGATTTTTCACAGATCAGGTA